TGCCCTCAGCCTCAGGCACAACAACCTAAAAACTCACATATTCAGTTGGAGTTGAGGAACCCCAAGCCTCGCCCGCATATTAGCGTTGTATGTGGAACCGGGGTGGCTTCAAACGCAGAATACTGTTTTCTCTTTCAGATTCCAGTTTGACTTTTACATCATAGTAGACGGAAAGGAGGGGCCTCACACCACAGTAATTCGATCACTCTGCTTAGTTCCTGACCTATATCGGTCAGCTGACCTGTCCTGTACACTCCGGGAATATTAGAGATCAGAGACCAGAAAGTTGAGAGCCGACGAGCCATCACCGTCTGTATAATTCAATATCCGTGACCTTGCTTACGGCATTTCACAGAAAGGCAGCGAGACGGTGATGTTCATGCAGCACGCGCAAGCCCAAGAAATTCTTTGCGAAATCCTGCGTTTCATGCGGAGATTGTGGGCTAAGTGCCTGGCCTCTGGCAACCGCTTTCGCCCATCAGCACCCCCGATGGACCTCTGAGAAAAAAAAAGGAAAGACTGTGCTCATATGCCCACAAATGCGGAGCTGTTCAGAACCGAAGTCATATCTGTGCGGCCACAGAACCGCAGGGCGTGGGTAAAGGCTACCAGGGCCCGCCGTGTCCAGTGCGGCGAGGAGCTAACAAAGCAGGACAAATGAGTACTTCTGCAGACATCTGGGCGCTTCAAATATGCTCTGCGCGCCGGGTAATTCTCACGATTCGCAGCTCGGTAAGCAAGTCGCGGCCGAAGTCTGCAACGGCAAATCCCACGTCTCTCAACCATGCTCAAGTACTCAAGTCAGCGCCTTCGTCAACTGCTGCGACGACCCGAAGTGCCTCACCCCTGGCTGTCGTGAAGGGTCTAGGTGGGACATGATCATCTGTTGCCGCTGCACCTCTCAGGGATCGCAGCTGTCGCTCGGAGGCGGCAGAAGCGCCGCTGCCGGAACGTAGGTGGTTGCCAAGCGCCGAGCAGGGCTGGAAAGAGTCTCTCACTTCAGTGTCACCACGTGATATCGTGTAGCTCAACTTGGACAGACGTCAAATAGCACAGCATTTCCATCCGGCCTCGCAGTGCTCGCTGCACTGGGCGCTGCAACCGCTTGATAATGGCTCGATGACCTTTGCTCTTACTCTTCGCTGAGACCTGGTGTATTAAGGTCTCGTGCCTCCATTGAAGGGTGCCTCGGCAAGCGGGTGCCTTGGTTGGTTGCCATAACGCAAATCAGCGAACAAAGAATGTTTCTGGAACAGTTCAGGCATGTAGATCCACTGTTCTGCCAGCAAATCCTAACGCAGTGTCGCAGCCCCTCACATGTGCCAAGCGACAGCTGACAGAGCTGCGCACAGAGTGCTGCACCACGCGCTGCGTCCAAGGAGGCAGCGCGACTGGCGCTGGACGACGCTGGTGCCTGGAAAAAGCTTTTGGAAACGGCTGCTGCAAAAGTGTCACCAGGAACACAAACCTCAAGCGCCTAAGCCCCGCGCTGTGGCCCATCTGTACAGTTCACGCCTGGCAATTCTGAAGGAGATCCAGGCTTTACCAGCTGCAGGCATCTTAAGTCTTGAGATTGGGTGGGCAAGCTGCATTTAAACACTTGCTTGCTGTTGTGATCAGAGAAGATCCACGCTATGCATCACAGGAAAAGCAGAGAAGCAGCCCCTGGCTCAAAACAAGTTACCAACAAAACCTTGGCATTCAATGGACTTTGCATATCTCATCCTGAGCATTCCTGAACCATAGTCTCCATCACAAAATTTGTTCAACAGACTTGCAAGGTGAAAGCACAACAGATTTCGGCTAACAGCTCGCGAGCAGCTCCAGCCTCATCAGCAAGCCCGCCCGGTAGAAAGCTGGCAGGGGTGCCCCAGCCGCCTGCCAGCAAGTACAATAATGCTTGCTCTACTTCACTGCCCGCTTCCGTAATTAGAGAGAATGTCTTATACCTCTGTGCCTCACAGCTGCGGAATGTAGTGGCTGCCCCCATCAGATCGCCCACGTCAGCCTGAAGAACTTGCACAGGGTTGCCTGCAGATTGGCTATTTCTGGGCAGTGCCGAATAGTTGCGCAACAACATCCTTTTTACCAGAGCATCTGGAAGCCCCTTCCTGTTTTTGAGAAGCGTCAGCTTGCCCACATCTTCATCACTCCCCGCCAACGCTCCAACTTCCGATGCCCAACTCCATGTGCTGTGAGCAACCAGTACTCGTGATTGGCGCGCATGATGCGATCGGATATGCAACTGTGTGTGCATGTCTGTGCATTATGGGCCGTTGAAAGATGAATGTCAAAATCAAAATTGTTCATGTGGCCAAAGACCTGCAGCATGCTCTGTGACGCACAGAGAAGCCGGGGGTGTGTCCTACCTCACCACTTTGCTGCAAGTATGCCAAGGTCGGTGGGCACTTTGGCCAGCATGAGGCTGGGCTGCTTGTGGACCCTTTAACATGCCTCGTGCCATCTGCGTGAAACTTCCGACATGCTGTAGTCACGTGCTGCCTCGACGTGTTTGAATGGAATGAACGTAGCCTGACAGAGTAAGAGGCTTCGCTTCGGATGGCAGAACGAGGTTGCATGGGTTGCCTGCTTGAGACCCTGGAGGCAGGAGAGTCTTCAGGGGATCAGTGGGTTGATCAACAGCCAGGCCATCTTCGGCTGAGACCTCCTTTACAGGCATGTAAATTCCACGAGCGCGGGAGTCAAGCTTTCCTCCGCTTGGCTCTGAATCCCTAGCAATAAGTTGCCTCCAACCGGAAATCAAGGTCAAGATAACCCAAGCCGTGCATCCTGAAAGCTGCCACCGCCACTGTCCAGGCACAGCTAAAAAAGCAGGACAGGGAGTGCCGTCAGCTCGCCTGCCTTCCGAATGGCACTGGATTCCGGCCAACAAAGCCCCCAGAGCTGCGAAGGCTGCATATGCAACCAACAGCACAAGCGCAAGGACGGGCCGACCGCTACGGTGGGCTGAAGCTGCCATGAGGGTGCAGAGAGCATGCCAAGCCAGAGCCTGTGCTCCTGCTGGCCCCAGCAGCACCGCAGCGTCCGAAGACCATACACCTTCCTGAGGCAAGCCCGGGCAGGAAAGCCGGGACAGCAAACTTCCCAATCCAGACACGGCCATAAAGCTTCCAAACAACGGCGAAATTGCAGATAGCAGTGGTCTTCTCCAAGCCAGCAAGACCCACATGCCAAACACTCCACCGGCACAATACCATAGCAGCGCGATGCCTGGCAAAGAGCCGTCAGCAGCGCGTGCCCAGTCCGAACAATAGGCAGCACTCACAAAGCCAATGAATGTGCCAACAAGAACTTGAGAGCCTTCAAACCCAATGTGCACTGCCATCGCAACAGAAGCGGCAGTTGCGAGTATCAGTAAAGCCTCCGCGAAAAAGCTTGGTGGAAATTTCTTGAGCTCAGCTTCGAAATGGACGAGCCAAGCTGCACCAAGAGACGATCCCGTGATGACCAAGACCTGCCAAATGCGCGGGCCGTCCCACCAAAAGCATAGAATACCCGTGACAAGTGCGCCGGTAGCAATGCTCGCCTGGTAATGACTCTCAGCAAGCCAAGTGCTCAAATGTGATGCGTACATCAAAACAGGAGATCTCCGTACCTCACTGTGAAACTGATAGACGTCCTGACAGGGAGAACTTGGCATCCGGTCTTCATCCCCGGCCGGCTCCACGTGCCTGGGTGAATGTTGAATCTGCTCAAATCCTGCCTTTTCTGGTAGGTCTTGAGCCCTTGCTTTGGGTATACTGGGCATTTGTGGCATCGGGGGCCCGTTAGGCACCACCTTCAGCGCTGGCTCAGCTGAGGATGAAGCAGCGAGGAAGCCATTTATACAACAGGCAAGGCGCCAGGCTTCCACCCGCATGGCCGGTTGGGTTGCAGCATGCAGATTTCTAAATAGACAGGCTTCGCTTGTCAACGAAAAGCCATCAGAGTTACAGGTTGAACACACTGAGAGCATGACCTTTGCAAAAGACTGCCCTGTGTCGAGTCCAGTCAGTGTGAGTGCGTTTCTACTTTGTTCCTTTTGGCTTGAACTCCGCATGAAGGCACATGCCTCTGGAAGAAAGGAGGGGACTGGAGCGAGGCACAAAGCTGCAGTGGCTACAGGCCTGGCCAAGTCTCTGCCGTGGGACGGGGACCGCGCCTGGCCCCAGCCGCCTGCCACGGAATGTGTCCCTGTGACATTTAATCATCAAGGTCCTAACCATGAAGACAACCTGTTTCACCGTGACAGGGCATGCTTGGGGAAACAATCCAGCCCAATCTGCCGCTCAAACATGTCAACATGTCTCTACCTGCCATGGCTGGTACCCGAGCCTCTCTTGCAAATGGCGAAAGAGCTGCACAGCCTGCACAGAGCCAAGTGATGCATGTGATGCTTAACAAGCAGCACGCAGGAACTCGAAAACATCACGTAACTGGTCACGAAAAGATCTGGACAAGGCCGCAACAAAGCTGACAACTGCTACAACCAAGCATGGGAGCATTCCAGCAGCATGCACTTCTACAATCTTCAGGCTTTTGAAATCGAGTCCCAGCTGTGCAGAAGATTGAATTTGTAGGGGCAAGATCTGAGCGAGCTGCGCAGGCATCAAAGATCATGCATTCGACGATACAGCAGAAGCAGCAAACCGCTAAGCGCTGCCCAGTCTGCCAGGGGCTGTTCCAGGACGAAATTACCACGCTGTTCGAAAAGCTCATCAAATGTCAGCCGACCGTCCACAGGTAAACAAGGATCGACTGTTGCAACCGGTGCAGGGTGGTGCCCTGAATGAATCTGGAGCTGCAGGACCCTGGACCATTGTCACAATGGCGCGCTAGCCACACATTGCCTCCCCTTCTTGGGCATGTCATCCCGTACCCCGATGTGCAGACAAAGGACTACGGGTGAATGGAAGTAGGGCGGATAAGACGGCGCCAGTCACAGCTGCACCAGCCTTGTTGCTCTTGTGCACACAACTTGATCTTTGCACCCTTGCAACTCAACGCAGCCGTTGCCTGATGTAGTGCTTTTCATGCTTCCTCACCCGTGACCGGATACGAGCTATATCCGAGTTGTCAGGTTGGAGGGTTGCAGCTCTGTCTATGTCCAAATAAGCAGCTTCAAAATCTAGCAGGCCACCCCTTGCGAGAGCTCGTCTGCAATAGGCCTGTACATTTTCACCGTCAAGCTGGATCACGCGGTTGCAGTGGTCAACAGCACGGTCGAATTCTTCCAAATTCAGGCTGCAGAACGCACAGTGCAGCTCACATCTCAGCTCCAGTGCTGATTTATCTCTGCACAGTGGCTGTGTGGAAGCCTCGAAGCGTAGACGTTCTAGTGCTTGTTCGTACAGGGAAAGGGCTTCGATCCAGTCACCTTGTCGTACCATCTCATTGCCGTTCTCTTCATGGAAGGCTGCTTCTTTCATGGCCGCTTCTTGCGAAGCTGCATCAGAGATCTCCTGCAGGGCTGTGTTGAAGGCTACGCAACCCCTCCAAGCCACTAATTTGTTTCGAAACTGGGGATGTCCAGTATTCGTTTTCCCAGAAGCGCCCCGTGGTATGCCCTTGCAAAAATCTTGTGCTCACCTTGCATGCAAGGTTTTCTTGAGCTTTATTTCTGGGGTACTTATCCTTAAAGCTCCGAACTTGCGTGCATGGCGTTTGAGTGCATGGTTTCATCATCTTGTTGAGCGTTTAACAAGACTGAAAGCATGGGTTGCTGGACGGCCCTCAAGCGCTGCGGACAAGTCACGGGACCACGTTCCGGCGCGTCCTGCTCTGAAGATGCAGAAGCCATTCCTGCCTTAGACGTTTGCATCGCTGGCCTTTGGTCACCAACATCAAAAACCTTGATGTCAGAATCTATTCCTGACGTGGCGACCACTGGGAGCACAGGATGCGGCGCCATACAATTTACGATGCATCGGTCAGCACGAAACTTGCGCCGCAGCTCTCCAGACAGAGCATCCCAAATAAAAAAATGTCCACAGTCTCCTCCACTTCCTACAGCTGACTCTCCGCAGAGGAAACAAACCTCTTTTGCGCAGGTTTGTTCGTTCAACCTGCCCAAGAAGGACCGCTGCGAGCTTAAGCGCACAGAAGACAGCGGCAAAGACATTTCCCTGCAAACCTCAATGGGTAATTGAATAGCTTGCTCAGGAATCTCAGACTCATCAAGGCGCGCCCCTCCGACAGTAAACCATTCAATCTCACTTCCTCGATAATTGGCCAAGATGGACTGGCCGTTGGCACTCCAGCACACTCCTGAGATGCCTACATCGGACCGATGTCTAAAGCTATGCTGCCTGCAGATCATTCCTTCAGTGGAATGCAATGATATCACTGGGGTCAATGCCAAGCTGCCTGCTTGCGATTCAGCATGCAAGCAGAGGGCCCGAGCATCATACATCCGAAGGAACGGATCGTTGCCCCCGACAGCAAGCATCTCGCTTTTGACGGGGTTCGTCGACAATCCTGCCAACCCCAGCCCATTGGTGCTGATGGCAATGCTATGGCTGGTTTGTCGCAAATCGAAGTGGCGTACGTGGCCATCACCGCAACTGACGAAGAAGGTACGGCCCCCGGTATCTGGCAGCAAAGCTATCTTGAAGGCAAAGAAATGGCCTCTGTCAGGCTCAAACAACTTCACCTTATGGCCACTGTGCATGTTTGTAAGACAAACATACCCATCCGCACCACAAGATACAATGCTGTGCATGTCGTTGACAATGTGGGCATCAAAAATGTTATGCCTATGCAGTGTTGGAAAGCAATTCTTGGGACGCACTCGACCTGACAGGTGAGGACCTAGTTGCCACAGATGCACCATCATGTCATCACTGCCACTTGCCAGCACTTGGCCATCTGATGACCAGCGGATGGTGTTTACGCAGCCACGATGACCACTAAGCAACGTCGTGAGTTGAAAGCGCTGGACCCAACTGTAGCTCTTCTGGAAATGATTTCTTTCACGGTTCCCTTGCGTCCGACGAAGCTGACGAAGCTGTAGCGTCAGAAAAAGATTGTCCATTGCTCCGAACTGCCTTCAGTGCCGGCTTGCTGCTTAACCAGGTACGCAACTGTCTGCAGCCTTTTGCGTGATTTGCGATGTGTAGATAAATTCACGGAAACTACAGAAGTGAGAAAAAAAATCGTCTTGGCACAGGATACGACTGCTTGCATCAGAGGCCTCTTTGGCATTTTTGGGGGTCGGCCAGCCAGGTACACGCCAATTAACGCAAACCGTTTTTCAGGGACTGCAGGGCTGTTAGGGACATAAAAGACCTCTGCCTCAAAAAACTACAAGATTTGCAACAACTGCAAATTGCAACAGTTCGCCGCTGAACCCGGTGATTCGCCTGCAATTCAGAATGACGGTGTCCTGCAATTCGCCTCAGGTATTCCCCATTTGATCGAGAACCAGATCCGAACGGCTTTCCGGTTGCTAATGATTCTAACAAAGGTTGCGCAACAGCTACAAGCCGGCATCATATCACCATGCGTAGGAACTATTTCAGCCCAGCTCCTCTGCGATGCAACCATGTTTTCGCCAAAATCGCCTGACAACGAAAAATCTTGAACAATCTCATGAACTGTTCCCAATAATTCCCTAATTGCCTGCTGTTGCGTTGACCAATACATGATGTTGCACAGCACCTAAAGCTGAACACATGCCCACCACATAAACTCTCGTTCTGCATGGGACCTGCGTGTACGCGCTGCTGCCGAAGGCTGCCGAAGCATGTATTTCCGATGCCACATCCCAACCTACCTGCGCATACTGAGTCCGCGCTCACTCATGTATGTCAAACATGCGACGTCTGGCCCAAAAATGTATTGGCACTGCTCACCACTCGCCAAAATTGCGACTGGCATGTGGATGTCGCAATAACGTATCACATTTTGAAACACCTCTTCAGACTGCATGCCTTTCAGAGTTCCCATTCCTCTTGTGCTGCTTGGTCACCTGCCCAACACACCGCATGAACTCACACCCCCAACAACCAGGGGCAAATTCACACGTAACGCTGGAATCATTGCAACTGCTTGCCAACAATCTCCAAATACTGCATTCCCCGTCCTGGAGCTGCACGACCCATGTCCATGTTCAAAATCCATAGCAACGATGAACTCAACAGGCAACCAAACGTGGCATCATGCTGATGAAGCATGAAAATATGTTGAACATGTTTGGAACGAATACCGGCACATGCATCCAGTGAACCGGGGACTTCATCTCAGAATTGATCGCATGTCGAAGCAACAAAACTGTGAGTTGCCCACCGCGTAGTTCTTAACACGTATGTATCCACACAATGAACACACATGCCGGCAGGAATGAACAACTTACATTGAATCTACACAAGCAAATGTTGATTTCAGGCTTGGCAAACATACAATAACGCGCAACATCAATCAGCGTTCGTAGAGCCAAACCACATTGAAATCGCAACGATCCCTCTCATCAAGAAGCTCATCAAGAAGCGCGCTTAACTGTGACTTTTTTCTCTGCTTACTTGCAGCTTTTGCCGCTGCGGGAAGTTTAGTTAATTGTGACCTTGTTTGGTTTACTCGTGATTTGTTTCGTGCCATTTCCGTAGAAGGCACCGACCCTTGTTTACCTGTAATGTTTTTGGCCTCAAGTTGCAGACGGGGTGCACTACAACATTTCGGGTGCTGTAGAGGCCGCAAAGCTTGTAAATTGCATCATCAGGCAAAGATTGGGTTTAGGGTTCGATCCTTCGTTTGAAATGCCACAGCTTGCAGCTGTTGCGGCAATGCGCAGGCTCTAGATGCTGCGACCAAAGAACAACACAAGGACCATTAGATGGGCACCAAGTAAACACTGAAGTTAATGATCAAAAACGCGCAGTGCGCATACAATAAGTGCGCCTGTAGATACCATGGCCTGCACCAGATTTTGTAAGTTACAGAATTTGGAAGGATTGGGTTTAGGGTTCAATCATTCATCTCAAATGCGTTCTGCGCGGTTGCACTGCTCCTGTCCAAGACCTACCACAACAAACGCAACTCCTTTTTTCTTGAGTTGCTCTGAGTGTAGCTTTCAGAGGGCTTGGAGGCAGGAAGGCTTCAAGCTTCTCTGGCCAACCCTTTCGCGCCGACTTTAGTGACTCAGAGCAACCCTGTCCCTGCGGGAGGCTGCGGCCTTTTCCCTGAATCCCCCTCCGCAGCTCGGGCGGTGCGAGTGTAGAAACGAAGGATGAGAGCCTGGGTTAGTTAAAAGAGGTCCTGCAGGTCAAGGCTTGTACTGGAGACTGGAGTCTCCAGTGAGCTGGCTGCTTCAGGCCCAGGCTTGCGGGCGCTGACCTGGTCTGTAGTCCTAACTGCAGGAGGCATGCGAGCGTAGCTGCCGGGTGCTCACGGGCATCTGTTTTCTCTTCCACAAGATTTTCCCTCCAATTATTTAGCGTGTAGGGATGCAAAACTACGCCTTCTGGCTGGCACAGCTGGCCGAGTGTGAGGCGAAAACGAGCTAGGGGCTTCGACCTGAACCTGTCGAGCTTGTCTCAGCCGAACTCATCTGCCCACATGTTCTTCTGGTGTGAGATGTGGGAGACCAGCAAGGCTACTGAGTGTGCGTGCGACCAGGAGGCTACCAGGCGCAGGAAAAGGCTGAGAGGGAAGCCTGTGAAGAACCCGGCTTCCGTGGGCGCGTTATCCGAGCCCGAAGAAGCACTTGTCTCCCGGCGGCTGTGTGTCATCTGGAGCAAGGCTAGTTGCGCAAGTGTCTCGAAGCAGGCTATGTATTTCTGCACGCCTCTATGGAGCTGCGGCACAAGGCTCGAGCGTCTGACATAAACCAGATTTCGGAGAACCTGTGCAGACCGTCTTTGGTACAAAGCCAACCCCTTTTTTTTCTCTCTTTTTTTTGCTAGCGCACTCTCGCACCGCTAAATATGATGTGTGCACATCAGTTTCTCATTTTGAGACTAGGTGAGACTGCAGCGAACGCTCAGGTACCTTTCAAAGGGACAGGTTTGATGCAATTCCAAGCAAAGCTCCAGCAGTTCAACACAGTCAAGAAACAACCGGGGCCAAGCGTGAGAACCTGACAAGTCCACTGAATTGGGAGTACCTGTGCAGCAGCACACAGCAACCGATCACCAAGTTGTAACTAGGAAAAGTTGCGCAATCTGCCATTCCGACGCCAGAAAACAAGAGGAGCGATGTCTCCATGCTTTCACTCCAGAGAGCACAGTATCATCATACGTTTCTGTCAGACGGCGTCAAGATACTGGGTCAGCACAAGGTTCATCACGGTCCCGTCAAAGACGGAACTAAACATCCAAATTCTTCACATCCCAGTTTGATGACCAAGATCACACAACATTTCCCCAGGACTAGATCAGCAGACTCCTGTAAAGTAACAACAGCTCCCCTCACGGAGAGGGTCGTGGCTGTCGCAGTAAGGTGTGGGGCTAGGCACACATGAGATACTCTGCACGTGAGGTACATTCCAGGCCAGGAACGCAAGAAGGTAATGTCCAACAGAGGTCTGAGCTCCATCCAGAATAAGTGGACGCCAACCTCCTAGACCCACTTTGTCTCCTTCTGCCATGGCATCAGCTGCTGAGAGGCATTGCAAGAGGCGCGGATCTGACAGAGGCTTTGTAGGCGTGGCTTGGAGGAGGCCGGTACGCGTAGACCGGACGGAGGCTTGATGACTGTGGCTTTGGCATCGAGGAAGGATCAGGAGGCCAAGGCAGGACTGCAGCGCCTTCTTGTTTACCTTCTTTTGGCTAAGCAAGGCTTGGATCTGCTCTGCTAGTTTGAGCAGTGTCTGGCTCGAGGCTATAGTGACGGTCTTGCACTTGGAATATGGAAAAAAAAGGTTTAGGCTTGGAATATGGATTTTGGGTTTTCGAAATCCTTTTTTGTTTGGGAATTCCATATTCTAAACACCCCCCACTTGGAATATGAAAATGGCTGAAATATTCCACGCGTGTGTCCGGGCATGCGACAGTCTTGAGTTTCAAGTCTTGGAATAAAACATAGGAAAATAGCATGTTCGGAAAATCCACAAAATTGAACCATCTGTATAACTATATATTCCTTATTCCTCTATTGCTCGCCGCGA